ATTTTTTTCAGGTCTGATTTTCGCCATTTCATAAATAGCGCTCTCTAATGCGAGGATCGTGTACATCATACGTATCTAATACCACAGTTCAAAATATATGAACTTCATATATTCATTGTACCAGTAAAAAGTTAGTACGTTTTTAGGGTTTTTATTCTTTGGCCAAATGTCGCTGAAAACATTGCGTTTCAGCTGGATTTTACTGTTTTCTTACAGATTTCAACGCAATCTAGAGCAAGAAAGGTTTAACCATGGTGTTAAAGATCCTGATTTTGATGATCTTCAGGTTAGGCTACCCCCAAATGTCCTCCGTTTGGAGGAAGGCTGCGCTCACTCTGCCAATTCTCACTTTTACATCGGCATCCGTCCCATTGTATTGTCAAGAATGCCAACTAGGTAAGTAAAGCTTGTCATGTCTTTTAATTTCTCAGTTAGCTCATTTCATTTCATTTTGAGCTTACGGAGCGCTTTTAAACATCACCAATATTTCAAAATCCCAATATCGCATTTTGTAGTAATATCCGCACGGAAAGACTAGGCTGAACTTTGTGAAAATCGCAACATCATCATCTACGTCACGACGTAATCCAATTAGGCACCCCGTAGTTAAATCCGGAATTACAAGCACATTTTAGAAGTTAGCACCGTGTTCGATCAGGAATTCAGTACAGGAAGCTAAGCTTGCATAGCTAACGAAGGCAGGTTGGTTTTTATCCCTGCTCTCGTTTCAAGGTCTCGTCCATTTCCCATGGCAAAGTTGTTTAAAATAACACATTCCGTGCGCTAGCGGAGGGCGTCTGTTTTTCTTTGCCCAAGCCGTTTGAGACGGGAAGCAATCTGATACTAATGTAGATTTAACATACTCAACCGTTTGTCACGCAAGGTCGAAATAATTTCAATGACAAAAACATTTTATTGGTTCCTTCTCGCGGTTTTTCGGCCACGAGAATCACTTTTAATAAACTTTTTAAATAGATAATATAGAATATATTACCTCGGGAGAGTGTTCACCAACAAGCGGAGCTACAACTGTGGGAGGACTCGCCCCCACGCCGTTGAAAATCCCTATGGTAACTATATATAACGGAAAATCATTAGACTCAGTCGTGAGTGAAAGAAGACACTGTGGTACGGTTTGGCTCGAAGATTATCAAACAGATGACATTGTTTGACGGAGGGATACTGAGAGTCTTGTGCTAGAAGAAAAAAGTGATGCGGGGATCAATTCAAAGCTTCAACATGGCTCCCCCCTCATATATTGGTCAAATTTTGGTCCTCGGTCGTATTTGTGCGGACCTCGCTGCGCTCGCTCCGTACTACCACCATGATTTTGGGCCAACAATCCTCAGTACGGCCCTCGCGCTTGGTTAGTTAGAAATTATTCTTTTGCGGCAACTGCTTATTTGTCTTCCTTTGCATAGCCTCTGTAATTAAGAAGGCTGCCACATTAAGTCTCTGTAAGTAGACCGCAACTTTAAAGAAAATCCGGAACAACGTGGCGTGCCACTTTGGCAGTTTGTTTAGACCGGCGCTTTGCAACATTTTTGGAAAACTTCCTCGAAGTGATAATTTTTAACGAGGGTTAGCTAGAAAATTGCTCTAAAAAATGCCTTACTAATCCTGCGATAAGGGTTGCGCGTTTTTTCCTTAGTATGGCTGGATAACTCGTCTAGAAAGTACGGCATCTTTGTGACCTTCTCCTTCATCCAACGCCCAAGGAACGGTGATGCCCAGAACAGGTGATCTAGTCCGATTGCTGAAGGGTGTGTTAAGAATTGGCGCTCAATCCAAAATCAAATCTATTGCGGCCTCAACATCGGTATTTAGTCCATAGGCCAGGGCCCGAAAAATGGCCTTTCAGTACCACTCGGGGGGAAAAATGCTATCATATATTTTTGAAAAATACAGTTAATCTAGTTTAATATTATATATGATAGCAGTGTCCAATGAGTAGCTGAACAGGTAATATCACGTGATCAAGTGACGTCACTGCTCTCCACAGAATTGACAGAAAACAAATGATAACTGGCTAACACTATTCTTTTGAAGCGCGTTAACCGTTTTTTAAGGGTGTTTTATGTATAAAAATGATACAGGTCTCTTACAGATGAGTTTTTTAACTAAAATGCACTTAAATGTACGCGTAAATTTCTGAAACAGTTTTGTTTCAAGTCTCTTCTCGCAAAATTCTCACCAAATGGAAGAAGAAAATAATAGCAGAGTAGTATACGGCGTCTGTTGAGACATACCCGAGGAGACTGGAACCGAGTTTACTCGGACAAAGAAATTCAAGATGGCGACCGGAAATGAAATCAGATGCATAGTCACGTCGTGAAAATCTAAAGGTCCCAGGTTCAAATCCGGGTCTCGACCAATTTATATATATATATATATATATGATTATACCTCGAGATTTAGGTTACTTGAACTTTTACTGCAACTCTGAGTTTCATGCCTCTTGCGAAGCAATCGTTAGGCAACTGCCAGAATTAGGATTAGGATTAGGATCTCCTTCAAACCCACTAACCGTTCCTGTACATGTCCATCCCAATGGAGTAAGTCTTGCTACTGGTTCCCAGGGTTGCCCTCGAACAACCTTGAACGAGTAGTGTAGTTCAGCATAATCACCTCCAATCAACAAGTCTACTATTGAACGGATGCCTGGGTTTGGAGACTGTATCCCTTTCAAGTGGGTACAATTTACTGCATACTTTCCGCAGTCAATAGCTTTCATGTTTCGTGTGACTCGTTCGGCTGTGGATGCACTTCTCGTAACTTTCACATTTCCATCCAAACTTTCCAACTCGACCTCAACTGGCATAGTCTCAAGGGTTTCAACCTGTCCATTTAGAACATTCACAGTTACACTTTGAGGATGCCCTTGAAGTCCAAGCTCAGCGGCTACGTCAGCATTTAAATACGTCTTCGTTGAAGCATCGTCCAGCAATGCATTCACTTTAATTCTGCGATAGCCGTTCTTCAGAAACACTGGTACTGTGCGCAGGGCCACAAATCTTGGTTGCACAATCTGTGAAGTCAATGCGGTGTGAGACCTCTCTGTTACCTGCTGAACTGGGTCTTGGGGAAGAGTAAGAGTCATTTTGTTAATCGTTTCGCTCTCTGCGAGGACCTGGGAACCACCTGATGCTCCTTGTTCCACATCACGGCGGTCAGGAGAGTTCACCTGTTCACTTCGATCTGGTGCTACAAGATCTCTGTGCAATAATCGGTTGTGAGTGTTCTTACAATTATTTATCCCGCAAATTCTTGATTCATCACGCGTTTCTCCACTATGATCTCCTCCTAAGCAATGATAACACAGTTTAAGGCTCTTGGCAGCTTCCCATCTCTTTGGAAGGCTCATAGCCTCGAACCTGTCACAGCGCCAAACTCCATGATGACCACCGCAAACTTTACAAGGTCGAAATCCAACTCCTCTCTGATTTCCTGAAGATTTCTGCGTGTTACCGAAGAAGGTCACTCCACCGTCCTTCTTAAGTCCTTTCTTACTCAAACTGTGAATTGTTTCCGATGCTACTGTCCGAAATTCTGCTTTCCTGGATGATGAACTCTCTCAACGTTTCCAATGACTGCCAACGACCATTTTCATGAATCCACCGGTGATAATGCGCTAACATTTCTTCTGTCAATTTCTTACACAAACTGAGGTACAGTGATCCGCTTCCTAATTCATCATGCCGACCAGCTTCCTTCAGGTTTACCACAGTAACATCTAAAAAATCTGCAAGTCTCTTGAGGTCCCTTGCATTTTCAGGGCGAAGTGGCTTCAAGTTCTCCAATTCTTCCAAATGCAAGGCAACCTGACGCCGTTTGCCGCCAAATTTTCGTTCCAATCTTTCTTTTGCCGTCTCATAAGCCGTCGCAGAGTAGCCCAAAGGTTCCACGACCTTTAATGCTTCGCCAGATAAATATTGACGTAACTGAAGCAATTTATACTCTGGTGTAGCAGGTGCCTTGTCCACACACGCCATGAAAGCCATTTTTCCAACCCTCATACAACCTTTTATCACCACTGAATACGGCAATTGAAAGACACTTGAGCTGATTCCACATATCCGTAACAAGCGATGGCGTTGAACGACTTTCTTCTAAATTGTTCGCAGAAACTTTTCTTGTTTCCAGTCCTTTGAAATCCGATTCTTTCAAATTTTGAAGTTCCCCTTCAACAAATAAACGACTTTGATACTGGCGACCTACTTCTTCCAAATCTTCTTTGTCACGAGCGCTATCTTGTTCTCCCTTAATTTGCTCCTCTAGAGTTTGCTTTTCCACGCTTTTCCGTAAGACGCTTTCTTCCATTTGACGTCGACGAGTATTTTCAGATGCGTCACTTGCCAAACTCGATAGTTCGTCCTTCCGATTGTCCAAATATTCTTGAACCTTGTCATGAGCCTCGGAAAATTCCACTTCTAATCTGTCCATTTCATCGCTGAGCTTTTTGCGTTTTTCTCTCTCTTTGCAGCTCAAATATTCTTGAGATAATTCTTCCATTGTTGACATTGCGCGTTCTTGCACTTCACAGAGCTTTTGACAAACTTCCTTGACTTCCCGCCGACTCGGATAATCTTCTTCGTCTAGAAGGCTCAACAACTTGTTCTTTATCCTAGTGAAGGCTGATTTATCCTTCGCCTTTTGCTGCTTTAAATTTTCGATACGGTCCTCCTCTTCGTCCATAGCTTCGTTGTGCTTTCCGTCCACTGACATAATTAGAACCCCGCTGTGCTACCATTAAATGTTCACGCCATGATCCCACTGATTAACGCGATTGTCTCCTGTTCACACACTAATTAGCGCAATTGTCTCCTGCTCAACGTTTCCCAAAAGATGGAAATCAATGAAGAGATACCCTAAGATGCAAAGTCCTGAAGCTCAGAAACGTGTCGCTGAAGCATACCATCAAGCAGAATGTATGGCGCTAAAACAGAAGATTCAGGAGATTGAAAAGAATCTTGCTGCACAGAAAGAACAATATCGAACCTTGCTAGAACAGCGTCAAAGTGAGCTGCAACAACTGGAGGGAGGTCTTGGAAAAGAAAAGACACCCCAGATATCCCACCAAACACAGGTTAAAACTGAATTGGCTGGATTACAGACAAAATACGATCAACTCTGCACAACTTAGACACGATGGTAAACTGTAGAGAGAAACCACTTACACAGGTGATAACTGCGAAATCTGAAGAAACTCTAAACAATGGTGAAAAGACCGACCCATCTCCTTCCTGAGATAGTGATATGGTGAGGTAATTGGCGTGGTAAATGTGAAAACACGCGGAGCCAATAATAATAAAATGTTACAAATAAAAAGTAGAGAGATTCTTGCATTGTTTTTATTCGTTACTGTGACACGTTAGACTTCTATAGCGGATCATGTCGCACTTTTGCCGATGCTGCAATACAACATTCACGCGTTCGCAGACTAGAACCCGTCACGAAAAGAATTCATGTGTGAACTCGAGGATCGTTCCAAATCAATCGTACCTTTCCATTGTGAATCACCCGCCCATTCTACCCGCGACTACAGATCCGTTCCAGTCGTTAGATCTATCGCAAAGGTGTTGTGAGGTCTTCAAAGTTAAAACACCTAGTAGCATATTAATCATAGGACCTACAGGATTAGGTAAAACTTGCTTCACCAAATCATTGATGCTACACCATTTGGATGAATTGTTTGTATTACCCCCTTCCGTCATTCACTACTGCTACGGCGTTTGGCAAGATGGATACCGCGAGATTCAACAACGCGGCATAAAACTTCACGATACACCACCCGATGAAAAACAGTCGACGCGTTGGTTTCCTAAAGATGGCCGGTTGTTGGTCATGGATGATCTTATGACAGGAGGGGGAAATGATAAAGAAGTGTTAGACCTTTTTACCAAACATTGACACCACCGTAACATTACTGTCACCTAACTTTGTCAAGATATGTTTCCGCCTGGTAAATACGCTAAAAGTATTTCCAGAAATGTTCATTACGTTGTCGCTTTTAAGAACCCTCGAGATCAGCTAGGGCCAAAAAATTTATTGTTACAAGCTTTTCCCATGGAATGGCAAGATATTATGCAAGTGTGTTCTGAGGCAACGCAGCGGCCTTTTGGATATATCACCCTGGATTTACAACCTTCTAGTAACGATGCTCACCGCGTATTCAGTCATTTTTCATCAGAAGTGTCTCTTTTCTGCTTTTTATAATTAAGTATTTTTTTAAATTAATCTTTGTGGTGTATATGTTGTAATCATTTTTATATTTCGATTTTAGCTCCAATTTTTATATTTTAATTGTATTTTTATATAATACCCATTTAGTATTTAGGACCTCTATGTAAACCACTATTGTGAGGGAGTTTCCTAATAAAAGATTGTTATTATTATTATTATTATTATTATCTTTTGACGCATGAAGGTTGCATACGAGTGTATCCTAGAAACGTTAAAAACATTCCTACATATTGGATAGAAATCATTTAAGAACATCCACCAGCAAGTACACATTGTGAGAAAGAGAGAAAAATCATCTGCGTAACCATGGCAAATAGTTCTAAAGATCTAGATGTTTTCGGTGATCCGACAGAAGAAAAAGAGGGAAAGGAACCTGAAAGCCCGGGTGATGATGATGAGGATGGTGATGACGGTGACGATACTATCGATGATGATGACGGTGACGAGGATGACGATGACGATGACGGTGACGATGATCGTGGTCAGAATTGAAACAAGAAGTAAAAGATGAAATGGAAGCTACCATGGATTCACAAGAAGAAGAGGGGACATCCAATTATGCGCTCTTATCTTTAGGTAGGCGTTGAGAAGGTTATACTTGCGTCGTCTAAAGTGGCATGACCGTATTAAAAAAGACAAAATACAGAGGCAAGTCATGCATACAGCTCGACGATTAATGAATGAGGACGGAATGGACAGGGAGGAGGCCTTAGAGGCCGCCGTGGACAGGAGAAAATTCCTAATAAATCGTCTGCTAGAAAGCCCGATATTGGATGTCACCGATGATGATGATGATGATGATGATGATAATGATGACGTGGATGATGATGATGATAATGATGTAACACAGGAAGAGGAGGAAATGAATACACTGAGTAACTGATGTGATCCGTGAAGTAGGGGTGAAAAAGTATGTCATTCCTTTAAACAAAGACAAAATAAAGTTATGTTGTAAACAATCTTTTGTTCAATTTTATTTGCTCTTTCAATAGCTATGAGACACAAATGTTTTATTTTAACTCGACAAAAAAAACTGTTTCGACAAGAAATAAAACTACATTACATTATTCACTGTCCCCATTCCACCTAAATCCGTTATTTTTTTAATTGAAACCTCTGCTATAGCAAAATAAAGTTCCACTCTTTTGAAAACAACACCGTTCCTCATGAAGTTGATGATTTGTTTTAAACGCAATATGTTTTCCACAGCTCTTACACTCGAAGGGCTTTTCCGGTAGAGGTGACGCCCCCTGCTTTAGTGGACTTGATTTCTTATACATTGCTTCTTCTTGTTTGGTAAGTGCTTCTTCTATCGCGTTATTCTCCACTTTTTCTGTATCAGATGGTTCCACCCGCGTCACCTAGGTGTTCCAATCTTCCTATGTGCTCGATAGTTCTGTTTTTGCAAACATGTCCTCTACATCCGGTTTTGGTAGTAAAATCTCTGGAGCACTAATGGTTGGTGTACGGGTTTTCTCTCCCTTTTTCTCTTTCGGATTATAAAGTGGAGTTCTTTTTGCTCGCTGCTGTGTCTTCTTCTTCTTTCTTTGATTCGATCTTCATGTAAACCTGCTCGTTCTAGACTCTATAAGAGAGGGAAACCCTACGTCTTAATATGCTTTCTATTTCTTCGATGAATGACATAAGCACAGTACGTTTGTGTGTTACCTTTTCTCTGTAGTAAACGTCCATTACCTAATTTCATACCGTGAGGTACTGGGTCGAGTGCGGACTTTCGCGGACAAATTTAAAAAAGAAACATGGTGCACGCCGCTACTAAGGAAGAGGCGTCCTCATCAGAAGTTTACAGTTTTGAGCTTATAAAAGAACAGATAAAAGAGGAAAATATCAAGTCCCTGGATTGTGATGTCTTATCCAAATTTTGTGCTAAGCTACAGCTTGAAACATCGGGCACAAAAGAAGCCCTCATTGAACGGTTGTCCTCACTACAGGACGATGCCCTGATTGAAAAAAGGATAACTTTGATCGATAAGAAGTTCAAGTTTCCGACGTCACTGCCGAGAGAAAGCGTTCCTCAAGCTACAGCAAGATGGAAATTTGACGTTTCACTCTTTCCCAAGATCGGACAAGGTGAAATAGATGCATATCAATCGCATAGGTGCCAGGGGAGAAAAGGGCAGTATAGAAAGGCTTACAGAATGTTCCAGTCTCGAAGAGTGAAGCATATTAAAGCTATACAAGGGGAAGGATTGTCAATATATGTAAAAGCCAGCGTTTTGAAGAGTTTTTCTTCAGACGTAACTCGCACAGTTACAGTGCTTTTTGAGGGAAATAAACCGAAAAGGGCATTCTGCGAATGTCCTGTGGGTGCCTGTGGTTTCTGCTGCCATGCAGTTCTTGTTCTTCTTCAGCTTAAATACTTTACCGAACACAACAACTTTCTTTTGGCTTTGACTTGCACCCAGAAACTCCAAAAGTGGCACTGCCCCAGTACCTCTGACGAGGCAAAAGCCAAGCAAAAGCAGCATCTCACATTCGGTTGAAGTACTTTGGAAATGTTCGATCAGGAAGGAAAGCCATTTTCCACAAGAGATCAACCAAAAAAGTTGAAATACATTCTTCCGAGTCTGTGATTGACATTGACAGGGGTGACTGGCTTACAAGAGATGTAGGTGAAATCAGTCACAAGGTACAAGATAAACTTGAAAGTACTAACATTGACATCTCAAATCATTTTCTCAAGTGCTTGACAAAGTACAAAATAGAATCTGGCTTGAAAAAACATCTTGAATACAGAAATGGTTATCACTGTAAAATCATGCAGGAGCATGATTATGCCAAGCACTCAGTGTATTATGACGAGACATTACTCATGCCTAGATACAAGGGTAATGCTCAGGACATATGACACTCAAAGTTAGGGCCCTGTCAACCAGAATCTAATGATGTTCAAGAGAATGCCAGCAAAACAAACTGGTCTCTATTTTCCACTGACAAGTTTGAAGACTTGCTCAGTTTACTTTCTCAAAGTAGTGATGAAATCATATCAGTAAAGCTCGCTAAGTATGAAAAGATTGATGTTATTGGTGGAAGTAACTATGTTGATGTGGTTCAAGGTTCAAGTGAATGGTTTGCAAACAGGATAGGAGTTATTACTGCAAGCAAGTTGCCAACATTACTGGATATGAATGGGCCCAAGGAGTTTGATGCAGCTTGGTTTTGCATCAACAACAAGCTGGATGAAAGCACTTATCAGCCAAAGAAATTCAAAAATTTTTAAGAGGGGACAAAGATATGAAAAAGCAGCATTGGATAACTTTACAGAAGTATCAGGTATGGGGGCAATTATAAATTATCATAAATTAAATGAGGGAGGGTTGATGTCAGATTTTCCCTTTTTGTATTCTAGGTGCCCCAGTCTATAGCTGTGGCTTCATTAAGCATCCACAAAACCCCCGAGACGGAGCAAGCCCAGATGGCATTGGCGAGGCATTTTCTGTTGAAGTTAAAATAAGAGCTGGAAACTCAGAGATGCCACTAGAGAAAAATTCAGGGACTCACTTAGTTCAGACTAACTTCCAAATGGCCTGCACCAATGGTGATATCACATTTCTCCAGTCTTATTTGCTGGAGAAAGACATCTCCCATTTCTTCTATGTAAAAAGAAATGACTTACTAGTAAATGTAGTCAAAGATATTACAGATCACATGCTGCAGAACACAACTTTTACTGATTGGCATTATGATGAACACTCCTATCTTAAGAAATTAGGAGAGCAACTTCTAGGAGGCATTGCAACTTTTGAAAGACTTCGCGCTCTTAGGTCATGGATTAATGGACTTGCTACAGATATAAAAAGAGTGTCATTTTGTTGATAGAGGACATACATTTTTTTCGTGAAATGTACTCAACTGTATAATTTGTAAACTAAACATGTAGATCATAGTCCGGATTGTGGCTCCTTTGCATAGCTCTTAATAGTATCACTTAGGGGTTTAAAATTAAACTTGGCATGGTAAGTGTTTCTTATTTCTAGTTTTCAGAAGTGAAAAGGAAAGGCAATGCGAAATTTTGATCACAGTGGCACTTTAAGTTACCAGGATGTTCAGTTGAAGGTTAAATCTATCAAATTAGATTTCATGTTCTTTGGACGTCATGGGCATTGATAGCAGTTTCTCTGAACAAAAGAACATTCATGATATTTAGCCTGGATTGTATGTAATCAGCAATATCAATATTGCATGGCTCAATAAAACAAAACTTGAGACTCTGCAACTTGCTCAGTTGACAGCTTATTTATCTGCTTTACCTTCTGTCTCCTTTGGTCCAATAGGCCTCTTGAAAATATTTACAATGTGTGCAAGTAATTTGTGCACATAGCCAAGGAGATCGATTCTACTGGAAGGCCAGCATGCATTGATAATGGCCCAGTCTCTCATTCTCCCTATGTAGTTTTCATTGTAGATTCTCAGGGTGGCAATATCAAAGTTTTTACTGATCTCTGACTCATCATACTGAGCATCAAACTTTGAAGGTGGTCGGTTATGATGCAAGCCCTTCTAAAGACACATTTCTGTGATGCCAAATCCCTTGTCAGTCAGTACAACACTTCCTCTCCTCACCATATCAAGCACTCCACACTGTTCTGTGATATCATTGTCTGAAATTGTTCCTGGATAGGTATCACTGCATTGTAACAGGGATCCCTGTGGGGTGATCCACACTGCAGTCTTTCCAGTGGTGTGGTTCTTATACTGGCTAAAAGTGATATTACTCAATCACTTCCTTTGAAGCCCGTTGCACTTTCGTCATACGGTGATACGATATCTCTAGAGTTCTCCGGTTGTTTTTACAATACTTTGAGGCACAACTCCAGTGCCACTTCGTGGCGGACGCCATGTTTGTTTTGAGTTTGTCCGCGAAAGTCCGCACTCGACCCAATACCTCACGGTATGAAATTAGGCAATAGATGATGAGGATGAATGATCCAAACTTCTTTTCCAACTTTTGCAAAACATTCCATACGCGAAAGAGTATTACAGACACCACGATCCATATTCTCCCTTTATCTTCAACAAATTGCGGGCAATTATCCTCGATAAACCAGCGAATGTGCCGAAGGGACGTAGACCTTCCTCTAATTATTTCACCACGAAATACAAAGGACATCTTCTTAAAAGACTCGGGAGAATTAAGAATAGCTTTTGCGATGACAGACACATGAGTCTCTTTTTTAGACATGTTTTAAACTCCGTGTTGTCATAAACTCAGTGCTGCTATCCTGCTCACCACCACTCTTATACACTCTATGCTAGATTTTCATTGGTCTATCATTGATTGACGCACTCAGAAAATAACTTTTTTTAGTCGTCATATTTTGTCTAAACATGTATTGTTCTGTTGGAGTGACAGACAACCATCCATCCGTCAATCCTATAAATACAATAAGCACAAAGGGATTGTAGAAGCAATTGTAATCTTTCCGAGAATAAGCACAATAGGATTTGTAGATCCTATTCGAATCTATTTA